AAGCAGAACCATTTTTTTTAGCAAATATGCTAAATTTAAACTTGAAGATTAAGGTTATTTTTTTGAAAGAAAGGAAAACTGTCATAGGTTTAACAGACAGTTAAAATAAATAATTTTTCTTTTATTTCATATGTCAGGCTTGGGTTAGCTGTATATATTTTTCTGCCTATGTGCACTTTAACCAGACGCCATTACAGAAAAACCATCACACCCACCTCTGTCATCTGCTACCTTCACCCGGCACCCTTTTCGGAATCACCCTGAGGGTAGGCCGCCCGGTTTGCCTCGTCTCACAGGAAACTCCTAGAGCCTCTGCCTGGAAACATCTGAGACAGAGAACAGATGGCGCTGTGATTTCTGACAATTGTGAACATGTTTTCCCCCCAACTGTGTCTGTGTGTGTGTTTGTGCTCTTTTAGCTATCTAGACCTCCGCTCCTGTAGACTATACACCCTTGGGTGTGTATTTGTATGAATGAGAGAGTGAGAAAGAAAGGGAGAGTGGAGGAAATATGTGTGTTTGTGTTCTTTTCAGGCCTACTTGCTGCTGTGGGTCTAACCCAAGAGTCATCATGGATTAAAAGCACTGGGAAACGCTCCACAGGTCCATCACTCAGCACACTCGGATCCAAACGAGTACAACGGGACGTTGACAGACCTTCTCTTTTAATGCTGATCTCAGAGCGGTATTCCACAATCTCTTATTACAATGGGAATTTGAATGTAGATGAGAATGACTGCTCTCAAACCAGCATAAATGGGAGACTAAGCGTGAAAATGCACCGGGGGGGCCCACGGGTCAGGGATGATGATGAACTGACAGAGCGCATGGAGGAGCTGAACCCCACTGTTTGTCCTGAAATGGCTCCAACATATAAAAGCCCTTGCAGTAAAGGTGTGTATATGTGCGTGTGTGTGTGTGTGTGTGTGTGAGGTTCACTGTCTACAGGCTCGTACGGAAAGTAAATCAGGGGCCTATTCTACCGTAAATGTCACTCATCCTGCCTCTCGTCTCCTGTCACTGGCAGAGCATTTTGCGGGTTATGAGACTGGATGGACACCAATACTTTGCCTTAAAGGTGTCCAGAAGATGCTGGAAGAGACTCGTGCACAAGATGAACTGTGAATTTTGGTCTCTGTGTGTTTTATAAGACAGCATCCATAAGGAAAGGCAATTAAGCTGAATGGTAAATGTCAGATATTTCTGTATTTTGTCTCTAGCACTGTAGAGACATCCAACATATTTTAAGCAAATATGTGCCCTTTGAGGGTCATATAATGTGGTAAATAGCAGAGTAAATGAGTTGTACATTCTGAAGAAAATGTGAGTGTTGTTTTCCTATGAAAAACTCACTGCCACAATGCTAGGGTGATAATGTTGGTTGCCAGGGTGTTGATTTACGGTTGTTAAGGTGCTCTGGGTGTTTTTTTTTTAAGTGTATGGTATTAGAGCATGATATTGGTACCAAATCGATTATCTTATTATATTATGTTATATTATATTAATCCACATTAGCCAGTATTCTATATTTTATTAGACATGCTTATTTCCTCTAGTTTTACATTTAGAATACTGTTGCCACCATGTTATGCTTAAATGTAAAATAACACTACTAATTTAATAACACTGTAAAATGTAATCTTTAACAAATCTAAAAATGAATATTAATTTCATACTGTACATTATAATGTTATAATGCCGAAATTTAATAGTGACATTTAATTTTAGTTTTGAAATATTTATTTTTAATTTTAGCAATGTAAATAAATGTAAAAAAAAAATATTTTAGAAATGTATATTTAGTTAAAAATAATAATTTATAATAAAAATAATAAAAAGATAATTAAATTCTAAATTTAGATGAAATATTACAATTTCTCTACTACCAGCCATTTATTGGTTATTGTTCATAATATTGTTCACTGGGGTTCCTCAGGGATCAGTTCTTGGACCCCTCCTCTCCCTATCCGGAATGCTGAATCCTTGACAATTTTCAAGCGACAGCTGAAAACTCATCTCTTTCGAAGCTACTTGACTTCATCATCATCATTATAAAAAAAATAAAATAAATAAATAAATTCTCTCTCTTTATTTATTCCTTCTCTTTCTAGCTTGTACTTATTTGAACAATGTCTAGAAACTTGGTATTACAAGCACTTCCTGTATCTGTTTGCCTCTTTAAGAAGAATCGCTTTATGTATCCCCAAATTGTAAGTCGCTTTGGATAAAAGCGTCTGCAAAATGACTAAATGTAAATGTAAATAATAAAAAATAATAACAATTAAAATTATTATTATTGGCTTATCGTATCTGCCATGATTTTTATATTGGTGTAACTCTAGTTGCTATGTGGTTGCTATAGGGTGTTTTGGGTGGTTCCTGTTCCAAGTCAAAACTGTCTATGATGTTCAGGTTACTCCTATTTTAATTTCTGTATCATGCCTCAGAATATTAGTTCATATCATCTTCATAAACAAATCTTCATGAACAAGCTATACATTTCCCTTTTAGCCCTGAGGCCAAACATTTAACCAATAAACCTACTGCAAGGCTAATGTAGAAAATCTGTGTACGTGGATGACCTGATAAGTAGAAATGAGATCCTGCGATGATCCTGCATTTGATATGTGAGGGAACATTAATGGAGGGCCACGCATTACTATAACTAGGGGTGGAATGAACATTAATGGTGTAAAGGTGCATCTAGGAGGTCAAAGGCTGGGATATACAAGTAGCAAAGGGAAGGGTAAAGGTGTCACACAGGTGAAAGGTGAGACCCCAGGAAGATGCAAATCTCCCACAGGGTGTCCACGAATCTCTGCAGATTCCCCGGGGACTCGTTTAGGTGTGAAGCAGCCATGGGCTCGGCTGACTGTGATAACCTGATTGGTTTAACAGTTTCTCTTATAACGACTGAGGTTTTGATTTGGAAACAGGGAGGGGGTGATTCTAGACCAGTATGAAAGGGCAACTATTTACAGGCTCCAATGACTGTGATGTTCTGCGAAGGTCCTTAAGACAGCAGCTCCCAGAGAGATGGTTAAGACAGATCCAGTTACACCAATAAGCCCTATCCTCCACATAAAGCAAGCAGCCATGACCAGTCACACATTAGTCATCATTACTGTGAGTGCACGTGTGTGAAGGAGGGGCGTATTAACAGTCAGCATGCTGGCAGTATGTGAGTGTTGGGGGTGAATGCACTAGATGTGATGCGTGAGGCCTCTGACAGCTTTAGATTCAAAAAGCATATGTAGAGCATGTATGTCTAATTACCCATCACAGCATCTGAGTGCAAGCTACAGTAGCCTAGTGTGTGTGTGTGTGTGTGTGTGAGAGAGTGAGTGAGTGAGACAGCCATACAGAGGCATTGTGCGTGTGCTTGTGTATTCACCAGCGTGTACTTTGTAGACGACTATCTGAGAGTGTGATGTGGATTAAAGAAGTAATTGGCAGAATCTAGGCCTATGTACTGTCATGTCATGCAGGCTGTTTAGTATTGCGGCGTGTTTGCCGTGATCTGAGAGTCTGTTTCCAGGCCTGATCCTCCTCTTCCACCCTCTCTGACTATCTGAGCTTCAATTGATTCTGTCTGCTTCTTCTATCCGCTCACTGATCAATTTGCAGTTCAACCTGAATAATCTTGAATTTTACTTTTTTATATATGAAGCTTTCTGTGAGGATGTTGGAGATGGTCACATCTGAAATCCAAAACTGGGAGTTCAAAATGTAAACCAGGGCGAAGACGACGGTGTTTGGTTTAATATTTTCGCAAGCGGATATATGGCACGGTATTACAGGACAAGTCGACCTTATGTTGGGCCCAGTGTTGCCAACTAATTTTCAGAGAAAGTTGCTAAAGGATGGTCGATTTGTTGCTAAAAGTTGCTAAATGACGTTGTGACGTCATTGCGTAATCACGACGCAAAATTGTCACATCATCAAATCTCAGCAAAAAATATATTTTATATATGTTAATTTAGATTTGTTTGTAAAATAATATGCATGATATAATATTAAAATATAAATAACTGTATTTTTAAATACATTGAATTATTGAAAACGTACACATTTTTGAATGATTTCAATTTAAGATTTTTAGTAGCTAGTAAACTAGTAATTCTACACATTCTCCACTAATATGCTTTAAGCAGTGTATTAGTAGTTAGTTAGTATGCTACACTCTAAGAAA